GGTAGGTAAGTAGGTAGGTAGGTAGCTGACGTGAGTAGGTGAGTGTATGTATGTGTGTGAATGAATGAATGAATGAATGCATGCATGCATGCATGCATGCATGAATGAATGAATGAATGAATGCATCACTGCGTGAATGAATTAATTCATTAATTAATGAATGAATGAATGAATGAATGAATGATTGGGTTAAGGAATATTGAATGAATAAATGAACGAACGAACGAATGAATGAATGCATTAATGAATGAACCAATGCATGCATGAATGAAACCATTTATTAACCAATGAATGATTGAATGAATGAATGAATGGGCTAAGGACTGAACGAATGAGCGAAACAATGCATGAATGAAAGAATGAATGCATGAATGAATGAAAGAACGAACGAATGAACGAAGGAAGGAAGGAAGGAAGGAAGGAATGAACTGGTTAAAGAATGGATGAATGAATGAATGAACTGATGAATGAATGAACTGATGAATGCATGAATGAATCAATGAAGCAAAGTAGGTAGGTAGGTAGGTCGGGCGGTAGGTAGGTAGGCAGGTAGGTAGGTAGGTAGGTAGGTAGGTAGGCAGGTAGGTAGGCAGGTAGGCAGGTAGGTAGGCAGGTAGGCAGGGGTTGGTTGGTTGGCTGGCTGGCTGGCTGATTGGTTGGCTGGTGGTATTTATGCATGTATGTATGCATGCATGCATGCACCAACATGCAAAAGAACAAAACCGCGCCGCCCAATACCATCACTGGGGTGCTAGCATGCACGGAGGGACGGCCGGTGTAGTCGAAGCTGATGGACTCCGTAGCCAACTCCTGTTGGCGCCCTACAGGTCTTCCTTTCTTGTTGAAGGGTTTGGGGTTGTAGGGTTTCTTGAATGCCGGAATGTAGGGTTTCGATAGTAGGAATTCCGATTGTGGTCTGCCCGTATAGGTACTGAGGACCTTTTTGGGGATGTGGGGTTCACATCTTTAAAGGGGTTTAGGGCTTTAAGGTTTAGAGTTTAGGAAGTTTAGGGTTCCCAAGAACTGAACCTCAACGAAAAGCATTAGGTTACAGATCTCGGGCTGTGTGTCCGAAGTAGCCCTGTGCTTGTTAAACTCACCCCTAGGCTATAATCTCTAAAGCCCGCGTAGCCGCAGCCTTCAGCCATGTGTGCCTGAACAAACACACAGTACATATATGTACAAATGAAAAGCTGACATAATATAGATGTACGCAACCATGTGCATGTCTGTGCGCAAGAGCTTTTTGTACATCCTTCTGGTTTATCATAATGCTTGCCCGGGCCGTTTACCAACCCTAATCTCGAATTATATCTTTGTAGTCTCAGGCCCTGCGGGTTTGGGGTCGAAGCCCAGGCGGCTCACGACTGGCTCCTCAGGGTTTCGGGACGGGGGATAGGCTCAGTTTTCACCAGGGTTTGAGTTGGGTTTACTGCTTCGGGTTGCATTGAAGGTTCAGGGTTCAGGGTCTAGGTCACACTTATACGGCCATGTTGAAAGAAGGGCATAAGCCGCAAACCAAAGCCAGAATCACCACTTCCCCAATTACATTCACCAGCAACAATGGCCCTTGTAAGACCGAAACCGAAGACCCGACTCCCTCAATCTAACAAAGGTCTCACCCCAAGCGCCCTGAGAACCGTAGATTAAAAACACACCTGTGTTAAGTAGGACCTTGGAGTTCTGTTACGATGAGAATGTAAGATTATTCCTATATAAGTTCACTAAAGTTCATGCCCATGCCAGCGGGGGTCCCAAGCCGTTTCGTGGGGCGGACAATGACCCACAGCCGCCCAAAGAACCTGCAGGTCAACTAGTTGGCTGGGGCTAGGAGTATAGGTACTGTACGCTACACTGCTTGCTCGCAAGGGATTATGATTGTTCAGCTGCGGGTTCTTGTGCTCGTGTAGGCTATAGCGGCAAAAAGCCTTAGCTCCTGTTCCGGATGCCGTCGGCCTGAACCCTAAATCCTAAACACATGGCCAACGAGACGACTCCGAAGAAAAATGTAGATGTCGTCGAACGGTTTAGGCTTTCAGTGATGAGGCTTCATAATATGTCTCGAACATATCCCGCCAACCTAGGTCAGGCCGGGGGGGACGGTCCATAGGCGAGGGCTTAGGGATCAGGCAAAGGGTTTAGGAGTGTCTTAGGGGTGAAGAGTCGACCCGAGAAAGCTGACTACCAAAGAGCCCCGGCTGCACCTGCGAAGAGTTGACAAGCCAGATCGACCTGGCTCCAGCTTCGCTTGGGATCTTGGATTCAGGGGTCGGTTTCAGAGCTTGCCCTCAGGCTCCAAGCCAGATCGATATGTTTTGCGCACGATGGGGGTCGGAATTGCTAGCTTCAGTATCCCCTTGACTTGCAGTTCGGAATATGTAGAGTTGTACTACAGTGTACCAATGCCTCTGTTAATCAAGGCACCTGTATTAGTACATGGTCTTGGGGATCAACCACCGGAACTTGCATTCTTAGCAGAGGCTTTGCTTTAGGTGGGACTAGAATATGTGAGAAAACACAGGAAAGAGTAGCAGGCAGACCAGGCGAACAGGCCGCTCGAAATTGACAAAGAGGGGCCATGCTTCAGGCAGAGAGACAATGTCCGTCTTCCGAAAACCCTCAACCCTATAGAATGAAGCCTTACATAAAGCCCCAAACGAGCCCTTAAAGAACACCTACACAACTCTTCGAGAGCTCTTCACAATCCCAGAAAAGGCTGGGTTGCCCCCTAAACCTCAAACCCTGGACCACGGCCTAGGGTTTAGTACTTTGTAGGCCCTTGTCCTCTCTGCAGTCCCATAGGCTTTAAGTAGCGTTTAGGGCTTCGGGTATAACTAAGCCCAAACCGTAAACCCTAAACCCTAAACCCTAACCCCTAAGCCCTCAACCCAAAGATGTTCTGGGGAACCGGCCCTGGCTTTCCCCCACTACCACTGTCGTCCCAGAGATGCGCCGGCGCCTTGACCAGGTTCTCTGTCATGGGTTTAGGGTTTAGGGTACCCCAACCTCCGAGCCCCAAAGCCCTACCATCTTCGGATTTTTTGCTCTGAAATCGCGATAAAAGAAGCCCTCGAACCTTCAGGTTTCCGGGGCTAGGGCAGGGCCTGATGGATGACTAGACGGGTCTTGGGGACACAGTCTAGAATTATACATGGACGACAAAGGGATATGCTCAATGCAAATGATTCAGACCCCTCGTTCACGATTACTATTACTATTGTTATCATCATCATGACTACTATCACCGCTATTACTATTGACTGTTACTACTATTAATGTTACTACTAACTCACTTAGTGTTACAACTGCTTTCATTGATTTTTGGTCTTTTATAGTTACTACCAAATAAAGTATTATGAGTTCGATTGTGTTTGCTGCTGTTTTGCTGCTGCAGTGGTTGTGGTCGCGGTCGCGGTCGCGGTCGTGGTCGTGGTCGTGGTCGTGGTGGTTGTTGTTGTTGTTGTTGCTGTTGCTGTTGTTGCTGCTGTTTTTGTTGTTGCTGCTGTGGTTGTCCTGCCTCGTTATAATTCTTGGGGATGCAGGGTGATAGGGTTCAGGGAACTGCTCCAGCTGCATCCAAGCGGGCATTCAGGAGCGCATTCTATGAGCCATGTGCTCTTTGTCCTGAAAGTAGTATTTTATCAGACTATACCAACAATCTACTACAGTACCAGTGCCAAACTGCTGCCCCAGCGCCCCAGCCTGTGCGCCCGGGCGGCAGAACGCCTTGGGGACGCAGCGGGCCTGGCCACAAGAGTTCTTGCAAGACCACCCTGGTATGTTGGTGAGTCTGCTTTCTCTCTTTACCAAAAAAGGAACATGACCCTAGCAAGCAAATAGGTCTATGTAGCTTTATATAAAATACCACCTTGGCTACTCTCCCCTAAATTAAATCAAACCCTAGACCCTCCTCAACTGCAGGGTTCCTGCCCGGGACACCTCGATTTCCCGCCAAGCCTAGCCTGAAAATCCTGGAGAATCCAAAAGTTTAGGGCTTAGGGTTTATAGGCTTTAGGGTTTAAGGTTTAGCCCCCTGGGGGGGAGCCCCCGTGCAAGGCCGCCCCGAAGCATATATCCCACATCAACTATCAACTATTAACTGTAGTCTTCTTAGTAGGATCCTGTCATATCCCGACATAGACCGCAGACAACCGGTTTGGTGCTCAGGGCCTGGTTTTCCAGGTTTGGGGTTCAGGGCATCGGGTTTGGGGGTTCCCGGTAGAGTGCTTCAGCGCTGAGCTTGGGTCCTTGTACTCATGAGCATATAATTTAATCCTTAAGTGCCATATACATATATTCTTATAAAAACAAGCATATATATACACACACACACACTTTTCTACTTATATATATATATATATACATACACCTACTTGGGTAGGCGACTGCCGCAAGGTCAAACTACGCAGTGTATGATCACATGCATGCCTACGTCCCAAACTCCCAACCCTAAACTGCAAACCCATGGACTCTTGGGCCAAACCCTAAACCCTGAACCCGAAGCCTTAAACCTTAAACTCTAAGCCCTATAAATCTTAAAACCCGAAAACCTAAACCCCAAAGACCCCAAACCTTAAACATCTTCAAAGCGTTCGTCCCTCATCTCTCAAACTGACGCATCGGTATAGCGCCTCTACAGGGTTTAGGGTTTAGGGTATAGGGAAAAGGGTATAGGGTTTAGGGGTTTAAGGTTAAGGGTTTTTCGGTTTAGGGTTTAGGGCTTCAGGGTTTCAGGGTTTAGGGTTTAGGGTTTCGAGGTTTAGGGAAGTTAACCCCGGAAAGTGGGAAGAGGACATGGGGATGACTGTGGGATCCCTCTACTTCATCTAGAGGGATGATGGGGAAGCCTGGAAATCTAGGAAAACAGTGATTTTCGGAAGCCTATTACAATCAGCCCTAAATAATATACCCCAAAGCCTTCTTCTGCTAAGTAAGGCACAGATAGCTTAATCATGACTCTCTAACTTTCTGGCTTCTTATTAAGGGGAAATTCTGGCGTCGCTGCCTCCTCCAAGGGGGGCGGCTCCGGCGTGGTGGTGGCTACCTACGGATGAGGACCGGGCCTGATTTGAGGGGTTGCTCTAAGACTCTCAGTTACGGGTTTCAGAGTTGGGCTTAGGGGTTGCAGCGATGAGCTGCCGCCAGGTAGGACCCCGAATCGTCGACCCTGCCATCCCAAAGTCGTGGGTTTAGGGTTGAGGGTTCGGGGTTTAGGGTTGAGGGTTCAGGTTTTCGGGTTTAGCGTTTAGGGTTGAGGGTTCAAGTTGTAGGGTTTTCGGTTGAGGGTTCAGGGTTTAGGGTTCAGGGTTTAGGGTTTAGGGTTTAGAGTTTAGGGGTCATTGTTCTTAAGAGTTTGGCAGCTCACCACAGCGACTGCACCACACGCAAGCAGGGATTCCAAACTTGCTTCCGAAGCGCAGGACCTTTTGTTAAGGCCCCTGAAGGCCCTTACTCTTGATAGGGGGACCCATCGAACCCCAAAGCTTAAGCCCTAAGCCCCCGAAGCCCTTAAACCTAAAGCCTCAACCCCCAAGTTCTGAAACCCAAAAAGTAAGCCCTGAAGCCCATAAATACACCCCAAATACCGGGAAGATTGAAACTCCAGGTGCCCGAGGCGATCGCCATGCCCAAAGCGACAAAGGCGTCACTGGGCGGTACCGGCCGCCAAACAAACAAGGACCTCTCCAAAAGCAAGAGGGCAATCATGTACTACCATGGTGGAATGATGACCCCAAGATGTGGATTTTCCCCAACTTCTTCAATAAGCAAGCGCCCAAAAGGATCGAAAGTCAATTCTAAAGTTCTTCCTGTCAGATAAGTTAGTTGATTGACACAGGTTCCCATATAGTATGTAGATTTTTCAGGCCAGGGCCAACAGGGCTATCCAAAAACGGAAACGGCACTCCAGACCCTACAGTACCATAATCTGCCACAGTTGACCTAAATCTGGCAGGGTCGCGTACATCCCTTCATTAAGGGCTGACGTACTGAGCCCCTACAACAACGGTCGCCCGTGGCAGTTTGAGATACATCTTTCTGCTTGCCGAAGGCTACAAAGGAAAGGGCCGAGTACTTACTATTTTCGGGACCTAAAACGGCGCCCTGATCTAGAGAACTACCCATATACTACCTCAGCCCACAAAGTAGAACCGGCCTGGAAGACATTCCATTAAGCATTCGGATTTTTCAAGGGAATCAACACAGGAGAGGTACGCAGGGATAGCATGGATAGCATGCATATTCAAGTACAGGAGAGAACTTACCAACTGGGCAGCTTCCAAAATGGGTTTGCACTATTCATTTCCGCCCCCTACATGTAGTATACTCGACACCCGAAATCCGAAACACGGTCCCTTCGGTATGGCTGGGAAGACACACTCAGTGAGCAGCAGCATAGCAATCGCCAGGCAGTCTCCAACTATTGGTTAGAGGTGATGCTGAATCTTCAATGCAGAAACCGATACGCTAAACACCCTAACAGCCTAAACTTGCCCCAACAGTCCAGAACATATCCCGGCTCCATCTGATGGCCTGCCACGGGATTGGCTCCACACCTGCAGTCTTCCAGCTCAAAGCCCCGAATCCAGGACTATTTCAACCCGAAGCGTGGTTCTGGTGGTTTAGGGTCTATAAGGCCTAGACTAGACATAAAACTTCAATCTTCCTGCACTTGCTCCGGGGCTACAGCAAGATTCAGGCGTATAGTGGAAGCCAAAAAGTTGGAACCCTCGTGCCCTTAAGGTAAAGTATAAAGGATCCTAGCACTGATCATCCTGAATCCATGCTCCAACTTTCTGGGGTGCCCCTGAAAGCTCTGACCCGGGGCCACAGACCTTCGGACCCAAAGACTCGGTCGTCCTTGCGATTTGGGATGTTGCTTGTAGTCCCTGTGTAATAGCTTTAGTACAATGACAATGTATGTACGAATGATCCGATTTGGGCTTCGGATTACCATCCGAATAGAGCCTTGAGGTACAGTATGTGGAACATAAAGGAATACCGCCATGAGTCTCGTGTCCTCATCGACGAATCAACCTGGACTGAAACATATCTTGAACACAGGCCGCGAACATCCGAAAAGGCTGTCTAGATGAGTGGAGCCTTGGGGTGCGGCCAGAGCCCGGAAGAATGCAGCTTGAACCCCAGACAATCCGCGTCGGGCTTGATGGTTAGATTGTTTCTCTCTAAACGCCATGACATTTAGAGGTTTGGGCGTTTGGAAAGCACACGATGCCTGCCGATACTTTGTCGGCCGGGGGCAGTAGTGATCAGCGACTGCTTGCAGATACCTGCAGCTTCAGCGTCAGAAGGTAGGATTTCGATGCTTACACGGAGACTTCAAACATGCAAACAATGCCTGCTTATGGATCTAGACTCCATAAGCAGCACCTACTCTGGGAGAACTTTCGGATTCTGAATTTCGGGTATTGGGGATTTACCTACTTATGGCGGCCCTCCCTATGGTAGCACAAATAGTGGTAGCAGGATGCGGAGAAGGGTGCAGCTGTAGTCACTGTAGTCGTACGTATTAGCAATCTTCGTCGTCATGGTCATGGTGGTCGTAGTATAGCTAGTGGTCGTCGCCTGGTGGCCCTCTTAGCTCTACCACGCAAGCTTGGCAGCGGGCATTGAATATGGAGGATTGGGGGCAACAGGTTTCATATTGGGTGTTTCGGGATAAGCTTCCGAAGTCCAACAACTCATGCATACTTCCACCAGAAAGCCAATTCCACAACATAAAACTCTACGTACATACCTTCATTGCATCGGAATGCCGCATACAGGTGGCTTGAAATCCAGTGAGATTTGGTACTGCTTGGAGCCGCGACCGACGAATATGTGGTCATAGTAAAAAGTTATACTGGCAAGTGCTCAGACAGTATGGACCATAAGAATGAGAATCGGGCTTTGGAGGGCATTTTACTAACCACAAGCATGATGCGGAGCCCTCTGGAATGCTAGTTAAATATTGCTAAGTCCCCCAATGCCCGCTGTAATGCTCCGGAGAGCTTGATTCTTCATCAGGAGCCTTGAAGTATGTACACCCTATATAGACCCTAAACCCTAAGCAGTGGGGCGGTAGGAAGACCCGAGGGCGGAACGCTTGCGAAGAATATCCGCGGAAGGCGCGTCGGTCCCGCACCTGGTTTTGGGGGGAATTTAGTCCACAGATGTCTACAGCTTGAGGTGCAGGGCCTAGGGTATAGAGGTTTGGGGGATGTAGTCAAATGTCTACAGTTTGAGGCGTAGGGCCTATAGGGCCTAAGGTTTAGGGGTTTGGGGATTGTAGCCTCGAGTTTTGGACTCAAGGCCTGGGGATTTCGGGATGTTAAACTGTTAGTCTCCAGTTTAGGATTTATTTCGGGTTAACCCAATTTTTTCCGGAATAGTTCTTCGCATAAAACCATCTGCAAACTCCAACTCGGGTAGTAAGTAGGCTTCTGCGAAGCCAGCACACTAAACCCGAAACCCTTAAACACCCCCTAAACCCTAAACCCTAAACCCTAAATATAAGTCCCAAACCCCATCGCAGGCTGCCTGCAAGATCGTCCGGCGTCCAACGCCATAAGCGCTGCCAGCCCGCGCATCAGAAAAACTGAGCGCGTGGGCTTTTCAGGCTCTCCATAGGGCTTTGCAGGGTTTAGGGTTTACGGTTTTCATAGGGCTTTGCTAGGACATGCTAGCGGTTCAGAAGGGGTCTCAACGGTTAAGAGGCTGTAGAAACAATGAACCACCTGCGAATCTGTAAAATATTGAACTCTTGAAGGTATACTGTAGAGCTGAAGTCCGTCAGAAGGACGAAAGGCACCGTCTCGACGGTCTTGGGATGCCGGGTTTCAGGGGAGACTTTTCCAAATCACTCCACCCGTGGATGCAGGTCACCGACCTGCCCTGAAGAGCAACTCTTCAACCCGATGCGGTGCGAGGTCCATATAAATAGAGATCAATGGGAAACGATGTACATCTTCAGCGACAGAATGAAGGACAGAGTTGTCGAACTTTGGTCAAGTCCCCCTTGCCAGCAAACCGACATCTCGGTACCTTGCCAGCTAGCGTGTCCCCGCCGAAATCCTCGAAACTGAATCCACAATCCCGGCATGTAATCCTTTGAGTCATCCTGGTCGTTCAACGCGCGCCTCGGAATTTCTTGCCGTTGCATCCAGTTTCGCCGACCGCTTTGTTTTTTCGAGTTCTCACGCCTCCCTCTTACTTGCTACTAATGCTGACGTAATATAAATCCTGCATTAACTTACTTATAAAGACCCTAAGCTATGTATACTCTAAAGTCTATGCTCTAGTAACCTTTAACCCTACCAAAGGGTCGTAACATCTGTGCAAAGGAGATACTCGCCCAAACCATCATAGTCATTCCTACCATGGAAAACCTACCTTCTACTGTGTGTAAGTACTTAGGACGCTTTGGGTGTATAACTCCGAACTCAAAAACTTATACTCTAAGCTCTACGTTCTATAAACATAAACAACAATTTAAAAACACCATTTCTTTAGCATATATTCTACACTCGACGTTCTCAACACTAAACCCCATCAACTTAAATCTCTGCTGCCTAAACTCGAGATTCTTAACCCTGCACGCTAAGCCCTCATCCCCCAACCCTAAACACAGAGCCTGAAAAGCCTTCAAGGATCCCGGCCCTTGGTTGGCGTAGTGCCCCACGCTGATCTTCAGCGCGGTGACCCTCACGATGCCAGCCACCTGAGCGTAACCACAGGTTAGGGTTCTATAGGGTTCAGAGTTTACGGTTTAAGGTTTTTCAGGGATTCGGGAACAGGGTTTTAGGGATGATGTTTAGAGTTTGGGGTTGAGTGTTAGGCGTTTAGAGTTATAGGGTTTGGGGTTACATACGTGTTCAGGGCTTAGGGTTTAGGACTAGTGCAGGGTTTTGGGTGGTGCATTCTACTATGATGAAAAGGTCTACCCGTAGGCTCAGGAGCGTAACCACAGTTTAGGGTCAAGTGTTTGGAGTTTAGGGTTAGGGAATTTTTGCTTCGGAAATGAGAGTTCAAGTTTAGGGATTAGGGAATGGGATTTAGGGGTTAGGGAATGGAGTTTAGGGGTCACGATTAGAGTTTAGGATTTAGGGGCCTTCATGACTAGAACAGGGAGTTGGGTGGGGTTCCTTCTGCTATATATGGTGAATGGTATACCGGTCCTATGCTAGATATATACACATACTATATATATATATATGTATATAGTATATATATATATGTATACATATATGGGCACATAAGGCTCCAGCGATGAAGCCTTGCAGGCTAGGGGTGTGTGGGTTTTGGGCTAATGGGCGTAGGTTGAGGGTTTAAGGTTTCGGGGTTTGGGTATAATTAGCAATGGCTGTCGTTCCAAGTACCGCCCCCCCCTCCCCCAAAGTCTAAGGCTTCAAAAACCAAACATTTAACCCAAGAAGATCACAAGCCCTATAGACCCTTTTGCCCAAACGCTGGCTGGATCGCATTCTTCGGGTGTCCATGTATACATCCTGACATACAACTTCTAGGAACCTACCAGTAAGACATGCAGGTTTGGTGGATACCTTTCAATCGCGACTGCACATCTCCAAAGCTCCACCATGTGAGAATATCATCGTGCATCCGAGGCCCTAAATAGTAGGCCCCGTGGCCCCAAACAATCTGCATAAAAGGGTTCCTTGCTATGTTCCTTGCTATTATGTCTTTAAATCCTTAAAGATATATGATTGCCCTACATCGTGCCCATGTAGCGAGTACTGCACAAGTCAAGTACCCCTTCGGGTTCTGTGACAAGACCTAACAAGCCCACGAAGTATGGACATGTGCGTCAAATATACATATCTGGGAGCCGCCTCGCCCCTCTCATCAACGAAAAACCATGTACAGAAGATCGCTTCAAGCACTGTCGAGGATGAATTGAGCTAGCTGGCTTGTGCCTTGTTTCTTTCGGGGGCCCTTTTACAGAATACTTTCTTCAGAAGGAGCACCTCGAAGAGGACAACCATTGAAACAAGGCTTCACCACTGAACCCTAAACTCTCTAGCCGGACCCTAAAACTGTACAACGCAAACACCCGTAGACCCTTAACCCTACTTTTAGCCTATAGTATCCATTGTAGTTCCTTTTTGTTTAATGCCATGAGTAGGATCCTGTGATTCATACAACATTGGTTAACCAAGAAGGAACTTCAATGGAGACTATAGGTCTACCCTACACCCTGAACCATCCCCAAACCGTAGCCATAGACAGAAGACCCTGCACCCCAAGCAAACCTGAGGCGGCCACAAGCTGATCTGGTGCCCAAATGCTGACGTGCTTTCGGCAAAGCATGCCTCTCCAGTCTCTTGGGGTTGTAGGAGTCTGAACTGCAAACGGCTCAGTTCGAAACCCGAAACCCGTCAAGACCTCCATACCCGCATACCCATAGTCTCCAAATTCTGCAAGCCCTGGGCTCTTCTCAAGACCTAAATGCCCGGCAGCAAGGCTCGGCAAGGCGTCCCTAGCCCCTAACCGCCTGCTTATGCATCAACACTATACTCAATACACACCCTCAACTCCTTAGCGTAAGTCAGTAAGCACGAAACCCTACACCTTGAAACCTCTAATCTTCAAGCCATTTAACCCCTAAGCCCCATAAAACAACTGTCCTAAAACCCCCCCACTCAAATCCCCAGCTTCAACCCTACACCCTATAAACCCTAAAACTTCAATGCCAACCCCAACCCTAAGCCGTAAACACTAAACCCTCATCCGCAACCCCAACCCTAAACCCTCACCCCAAACCTTCCCCTCTCCCCTCAAAGAAATAAATGCCTTCCGATGTCCACACAGGCGTGAAGGAGCTGTGATTCACGAGCTCTATCCTCGGGGGGTTTAGGGTTTAAGGTTTGGAGTGTAAGGTTTAGGGGCTTTGGGATTGTGTCTTAGGTTTTAGGGGCTAGGCTGTATAGGGTTTAGTGGCTAAGGGTGTAGTGTAGGGTTTAGCATCGAGGATTCAGGGTTGAGGGTGCGGAGGGGAAGTAGTAGGTAGGGCAGGATTCCACCGTGAAGGTGGGATGTCGAGCACGGCTAGGATGTCGATTGACGTGACCTGTACTTTCGCAACGGTCAACATCATACCGAGACTACAACCTGCAGGCAATAGGGTTTACACAAGGCTGGGGGGAACCCCATGACGAGAAATTACGAAAAGAGTCCCAAGTTCTCAAGCCCTGCTCTTGACCGGACATGGCTTGGGGTGCGCACACGATGCTTCGGAGCACATCCAGAGGTACGGCCTCCAAGGTTGCACTACACAGCACTGTAGGCTCTTGGAGTATAGTTATAGAGCTGGATCTTCAGAAAACAGATATGGACTCTGATATAGTATATATATATATATAAATAGAACCTAAAATGATATCATCCATGTTGTAGGGGTCTAATCAAGGTACCCCTAGTTTCTGAACCTCCCATGTTTCTAAGGTTGGGTGCTTGAGGACTCAAGGTCTGTATAGCTAGATTCGAGGGTCCGGTTCGTCGTACGTACCCCAACAACCTATAGGTTCTAGGGACTTCGATCTGAACGGTTAACGACTGCCGGGCCAAAAGCTCAAACGGGGGCGTGACAAAATAAGAAACACTATTCCCTATATAGTCCTTACATGCCTGTCTCGCAATTTATCACCAAGACCGAATACAAGTATTGAAGCTGTTCACGCGGCTTGTGGGTTGTTTTGAGCCCTACCGTAGCCGAATTCAACGAAAGCCTTCCGTCTCGCGACCTAGAGCCTAAGCGAGCCCAGGGTAGCGAAGGTGATAGCCTTTGAGCTCAGCAGCAACCGCTAGACTCGACCTTGAGCCCTTGTCCCCTGAAGCCTTAGAGCAAAGCATCTTCCTATGCACTGAGGACCTGGAACCAAAGTTCTCAAATCCCGAAAACCCAAGCCTAAACAAACGAAAACTAAAGCCACAACCAAAAACCGTCGGACCCTTATCCCACACAGCACGTCTTATGCTCCGGCCACTCTGCTGTGTATAGAACCTTAGCCCCTACGCCTCTCCTGCACCCCAGCATAGCAAGCATCGACTTTACAAGACTGAAAGCCAGCATATCTATACTGAACTTAGACCCCTAGCAAAAATTATAATTTTAGCTGCTTCTTAGGGTTTATAGTAACCAAAGATTAAAAGTTATTTCTAAGTACCCTAAGATATAGGGAAACACGACCGAACGCTGAACCCTAAAGCCGCCCATGCACACCCACAGCTCCAAACTATGAAACTTCGGTCTCCAACGAAAGAACCCACAGAAACGAGAGAAATCCCAAGTCCCGCCTCTGGCGGCGGCAAAGGCTCCAGGCCGCCCCCAGGCAGGACCGCAGGCGGCCTTGCGCCACACGGTTGCTGTCACGACTGGGTTTCTGCTTTTGCTGGTTCCACTTTTCTATCAGCAGGGGTGGGTTGACGATGTCGTCAAGGACTGCTGGGGCTGAGGTTCCAGGTGTAGCTTTGGTGATTTTGGGCGCTACAGTAAGGTGGGAAAGTTGGGTGCTTGTGTTGACAAGTTGTTCTTTGGTAGTTTTGTTGTGGGGTGCTGTGGGCTGCAGTTGCTCTGGCACTTGGGAAGATGTGGCTTCTCTTCCAGGGAGTCCCAAGAGGGTGCAAGGATCAGAACATTGAGTTTAAGGTGTATCCTAGGACCTAGGACTCTTGAATGCTGCCAGTATCATGCCGGAAGGCCTCGTAACCTCGAAGGCGGTTGTCCACTCCTGTCACAAAGGCAGGTATGTGAATTCAATTTGGATTACTTCGTCTGCAGCCACTTCCTGTCACCCAGACCTATCAACATCCCTGATCTCACAAGTACATCATGCGAAGTAGGCTAAGGTCAATTGAGTCGTCGTCAAAACCCCGTTTTGGCGCCATTATCCTATAACTCAATCGATGCGTGTACTTGCGGCCGCCGAATAAAAAAATATGAGGAACGCATGTAGAAACACATATAAATATACTTATGCATGTACATATACATACATATTCGTATACATCTACATATACAGGGCATATACGTATACATGTACATAAAGTTAAATAAATAAATAAATAAATAAATATATATATATATATATATATAGCATGGTATGATCTAAGATGATATGTATGTGCGTATACATATAAATATATATATATATATAATATACACACATGCATATACCTGCGCACACACACAGACATACATACTTACATAATTTCTTATGTACATACTTTATATACGAGAATGCCAATCTAAGTGTACAGATTGAGGGGCTACAGGGCCCCGGGCTTCAACATGTGAAGGCTGGGTATCTGTTGGGGTATCGATAGGCCACACAATTACATTCCTGTCAATAACCCGATTTTGGGCTGACAAACTCAAGT